AGCTTTTTGCGGCATAAACCTTACATCAAACTGGGCCAAATTGACAATCCATCTTGATATGCGTCCATTGAGTGTAGATTTCTCAAATAGATACTTGAATGGATCTAATCGGGAGACTACGAAGACAGTATGCACTAGCATATAATGTCTTAACTTGGTTGTGGCCCACACCAAGGCGAGGCACAACTTCTCGAGCGGTGTATAGCGTGTTTCGTATTCGAGCATCTTTTTTCTTAGATAGTAGATTGCGTTTTCTTTGCCTTCTACTTCTTGTGCTAGCATAGCTCCCATTGTCTCTTTTGTAACCGTCAAATATAACCTAAGAGTTAATCCGGGAAGTGCTGGTGCTAATACGGGAGGATTTGAGAGATAGACTTTGATCTTTTCAAAGGCTTTTTGACACTCATCATCCCATATTACTGGTACATTCTTCTTGAGCTTTTTGAAGATTGGTTCACATATTGTCGTCAATTTTGATATGAACCTACTTATGTATTGCAACCGGCCAATAAATCCTCGAATCTGTTTCTCGGTTTTGGGCGGTGGCATTGACATGATTGCTTTGATTTTGGTTGGGTCTATCTCTATTCCTCTAGAGATTATGACATAACCCAAAAGCTTGCCTGAGGTGACTCCAAAAGCGCACTTAGATGGATTCAACCTCATGTTATATTTTCTAAGCCTTTCGAAAAAATTTCTTAAGGCTACTTGATGGCCTGGACGGTCTTTTGATTTTACAATCATGTCGTCAACATATACTTCGACTTCTTTATGCATCATGTCATGGAGTAAGGCAGTTGCTGCACGTTGGTAAGTAGCACCCGCGTTTTTCAACCCGAATGGGATTACCGTGTATCAGTAAGTGCCCCATGGTGTTATGAAAGTTGTTTTCTCCATGTCTTCTTCTGCCATGAGAATATGATTATAACCAGCGTACCCATCCATAAATGAGAGAAGCGCGTTATTTGTCGTGTTATCCACCAGAATATCGATGTGTGGTAAAGGGAAGTCATCCTTTAGACTTGCCTTATTTAGATCTCGATAGTCGACACACATTCTTACCCTTCCGTCTTTTTTTGGAACTGGGACGATGTTGGCGACCCATTCGGGGTATTTGGACACCTTGATGAAACTTGCAGTTATTTGTTTTTGGACTTCTTCTTTTATTTTAAGAGCTATGTCGGGTTTCATTCGACGTAACTTTTGTTTTACGGGTTTCATTCCTAGAATTAGTGGTATAGTGTGTTGAGTTATTTCTCTATTAATGTCTGGTATATCTTCGTATGATCAAGCAAATACATCGATAAATTCTTTAAGTAAGTTAATTAAATCGGTTCTTTCTTGTTCATTAAGTGTTAATCCGATTTTAAATTCTCTTTTATGGGCTGAATCATTTGAGATATCAACCGTTTCAGTTTCTTCAATTATCGGTGTTTTCTTTTCGAGTGTTTCTATTGCTTTAATAATTTCTTTGTCTTTTTCATCGTTAGTTAAGCAATGCTCGTCATCTTTGGTTAGAGAAGAACACAAGAGATAAGGAGAAGAAGAAATATTATTATACTTCTGAGATCATTACATCAAAGAGTGATATGTCCTCAGGGAATTGATTACTAACTATTCTAGGAGAAGAAATAGAGGGAGGAGGTGCTACTACTAAAGACCTAGAAGACTCTATAAGGAGAGACTCCGACTCAGACTCTGACTCAGACGACTCTTCAAACATTGGTCATTGCCCTGTTGTGATGGATATCTTCCTTCAACTTGGAGTAGTCACTTTGATAGTCTTGTGCCACCCTTGTAGTGATCCTTTAGATGGAGTGATTAGCTTCGAGGGATTGAAGCTTTCGCTTTGTAGGACTGTTTGAATGAGCGAGGAGTTATCTTCTCTGGAAGCTGGCTCATTCTTTACGCGCCCAAATAGTAATCCCATGACATTAAAGTCAAAGCATGGGGGAGCTTTCTCCTTATGGACAGGAGTTGGGATTTCATCTGTGAAGTAGCAATCCAAGAAAATCTCAAATCCCGGCTGTCTTATGCCGTTTACAACAAATGGCTCGGGAAATTCATGGCATGGATAGTCCTCTCCTTCTTTTATAAATTGACCGTTAAGTGTAAGAGGGTACTGATCCATTGGGATTGCTTTCTTTTGAGTGCGAGCGTCTCTACGTGCCTTTGATTTTTCCTGGGCTCGCTTGAGATCTTTCCGAGTCGGTTCGAAACCAAGTCCAAAAGTGTCTAACTTAGGGAGGCCAGGTGACTCCAGCGATTTTGCCATTCCTTTCTTCTTTCCTAGGGTCATCCCAGTAAAATGTCCTTATTTCTTCAGCATAGCATTTACAATCATGTTGGAATGGGGGTCATGGCAAAGAGGGGTCCTTTCATCATCCTGGATTAAGGAGACTTCTTCGTTAAAGCCCCATAAGTCTTCATCATCCTCGTCGTGCTCCACATTAATGATTGGATTTTCTATAGACTTGATCCTCATAGGCGAAGCATCGATGGTGATAGGAATTCCCCCAACTATAGCTTTTATTTGTCAGAAAAGGTGATCAAATTAATTGGACTAGGAAGATCGCTTGTGAGGAAGTTGGCTAACCTCTCAGGAGTAGTGTCAGAATCTATCCCTATTTTGTCCAAGGCATTCATTACAGCCAACCTATGTTCCCGAGATGTTGCCAAAAGTTTCCATACGTTCATCTCAACTTTTGTCTTCTTAAACTGCTTAACAATATCATTGTCTTCAATGATAGGTATGGGAACTTGTTGTGTGGTTGGCATAGATTGTGTTGAAACGGGAGGTTGCATTCTCCCAGATCTTGTGAGGACGTCTATCGATGATTCTTCTTCAGCCCAAAAGTCATTCGTGGTGTATGACACAGAAGGTGAAGATCCTATTACGTCTTTTAAGTAGACATCTTCTTCATCACTGTCCCAAACACCATTAATGGTTGCATCGTCTTCTTGTTGCACTTGGACTAGTTTCTTTTCATCAATCATTTTCTGAACTAAATCCTTGAATTTGAAACAGTTTTCGATAGTGTGCACCCCTAATTGATGATACTGACAGTAATATCTATCTGTCCTTTTCAATGATTCGAATGGTCTCGGTTTGAGAGGTTTGATCTCGCCACTCTCGGAGATAATTTCGAACATTTGTGCATATGGGATCCCATTTGGAGTGTAGGTTCTATTACTCTTCTTAGGTTTTTCGGTGACTTGTAAAGGAAAACGCTTTTCCTCATAAGTCATTCACATGGGTGTGAATTCTCTCTTAGGTTCATCTTTCGGAAGTGGGACCTCGTCATATTTCTTTTGGGGTTCCCTTATAGCTTTGAGAGCTTCACGTAGTAAATGCGATACCTTCATCATAGACAGTGCGAGCAATTGTATATCTTCTTTACCTGCCGGTTCTGGAAGGTTATCCCTGACATTAAAATAGGTTTCCTCCTCTTCTTCTGTGGCATGGATTTCTTCGACAGGTCTAATGAGAGACGAGGGGTCAACTTCGTTTTCCTCATCAGAGATAGCCAGGGCATGAGCGAGAGGTGCATTATCGATGCTTGGCTTCTTCCTGGCAGGGGGCAATGGCAGCTTGTTGTTATCGATCAAGTCTTGGATAGCTTCCTTAAGCTTCCAACAGTTTTCGGTGAGATGGCCCCTACCTTGGTGATACTTGCAGTGTGCATTGGGGTTCCAATTAGCCGACCTCTTTTCGACTGGTGGGTCCCCAAATGGTCCAATAGGTGTTATAAGACCGTTTGCATTTAATGGATCAAATGCGGTGTCATAACTCATGCCAATAGGATTAAAGTTTCTCCTAAATGGTTTCTTTTGTCCTTGATTGTTCATAGAAAGGACTTCACCTAAATTAAAAGTGCTAACATTGTTTGAGTGGGTGTTTTTGGAAGAAGAAGGATTGTCGTTCTTCTTTCCTTTCCAGCCACTGTTGGAGGCAGCTTTTAACTTAGCCAAGTCGTCTTCAATATTGATCCCAATGTCATAGACGGCCTTGAAGGTATGGAGATTATTTTGATACTTGAGATGCTTGGAATATTTTTCTTGAAGGTTTTTGATGAAAAACCTTACAGGCTCTTTTTCACTTGGCACCTCAATCATCTTAGCTGAGGTTTCTCTCCATTTGTTAAAGAAAAAGGTGAAGCCTTCGTTCTCTTTTTGTTTGAGGATTTCAAGTTCCCTATGGTCAGTCTCAATTTGAATGTTGCACTTGTATCTATCAACGAAAGCGTTTTCTATGGACTCTTAGGTAGAGGCAACGAAACCATTGTTGGCAAACGGTCTCGAGAGATAGTGAGAACAGAGAGGGGAAAACCTTCTTATCGATACCCTTAATACTCATTATTGTTTCGAAGGCTCTTAAATGAAAATAAGGGTTATCAGTTGCTTTGAATTTCGGGATGTCGTTGGCATTGAACTTCTGCGGAAGAAGATCTTTGTCCACCGAGACCCCTTGTGAAGTAAGCCCTTGAAACTTGTAGTCGCTAGATAGCTTCCTTAGACTCTCTTGCATGAGGTCCATCTGTTCACTACAAGAAAAAGGGAAATTAGCAACTGATTTTTGCGACTGACATAATAATTAGTCGCAAAAATAATTTTGTGACTGAAAAAGACGAGCAGTCACAAATTTTGCAACTGATTTTGCAGTAGTTGCTATGCGGTCGCTAATTAGCAACTAATATTTGCGACTACCATAATAATTAGTTGCAAAAATTATTTTTGCGACTGCAAAAAAGGAGTTGTCGCAAATTTTGCAACAGATTTTGTAATAGTTGTTATGCAGTCGCTAATCTGCAACATTCCTATAACTTTTTGCAACTAAATTGCAGTTGCTAAGGCTAACAAATTTGAAACAATTTTTAAAAAAAATATGCGACTAATATTGCAACTAACATGGTAGTTGCTACTTTTTTTTTGTAAATTTATTAAAAAGGAATTAAAACCCTTAATATATAATAAGTTAATTTTTTTTATTTTTTATTTTTTTTGGTACGAAAATATAAAAACCCTTAGTACAAAAGTAAGGAAACAAGTACTACGTAGTATAATGAGTTGTTGCCGCGCGCCAAAAAAACACAATAAACAATTATATCACTCCTTCCTAAAAAACATAAAATTACATCACTCCTTATTTTCGTGCTACTCGATACTCTTCATCCATCCTCACCAAAAGAAACGAAAAACAAAGGGAAAACGAAGCCAGAACAGTTCAATTCAGAACTTCAGATCAAACCATCGTCGTCCTCATCTGTCGCCGTTGCGCCATCCATCTCCTCCCCGGTTAGTTACGCATGCTTCCTCTTCCTACCGTCCATTCAATCTTTCTCATATTGCAGTTTGCTAATTGCAATTTAGGTTATCATTGAGTATTTTGTCCAATTTTTTTAATTTTAGTCTAGTTTCGTTTGCAAATTGCAAACTGATTATAAATTTCGAATTGATTAAATTGCGAATTGAATGAGTTGTGAATTGATTGAATTGAATTTAATCTGGTTTATTGTGAATTGATTTTGTTTGGCTGCCAATTGCGAATTTTTGGGTTATTTTTGAAGTCAATTATTGTAAAACCATTCAAACATGATTTATTATTCAAAAAGCCCTAATTATTACTAATTTCTTTATGACTTATTTCATTTTCCCTGAGGTTTGAAAGGTCTGGATAAGTTTGAATTCTCTGTACAATTTTCAGAAAATGAAAGAATAATTAAGTGAAGGATATATGCATTTTTACATTGTAATTAAGGATAGAAATGACAATGATAAAAAGGAAATGTAAAAAGTGATCATGTTTAGTTGTATATTTACCTTGAAATCTTCATATTAAACTGCTGGCACATTGACTAATCATGTCATTGATGATTAGCATTGTCTATTTCAAACATGCTTGTATATTTTATGACATGTTGCAACTTCTGTGTGATTAAAAGGATATTTGGTTGCCTCAATGACATATATCCCAAGGAGTTCTTTTATTCAAGTTCTTGTAGTTATTATAATGTGTACTGTTTAGTTTACTTCCTCAATAATGTCATGGGTGCATCATTTATATTTGTGTCAGATGGAATTGGAAAACGTTTCTAATTCAATATCAAAGATGTGTATGTGTTTCTCCTTGGTTCTACTAATGAGTGATTTCATTGGCCAGACTTTGAACTTACTTTTCTAATAGGGAGATTTGGCCCTATATTATCGATTAAAAATGACTGAAGTCTCTGTCACATAATGGTAACAATATAAGCAATTTGATGTGGTTTTGTAGTTTCTTTCTAGGCTACAGTCAATAATTTGTCTGTTTATACCCCAAGCTTCTGAAAAATGCAGTCTGCCCAACTTCTTATTTACTGATCAATTTCACTTATTCTATGAGAATATATTTCATGTCAGGATTTACTGTCTTTAGTCAAAGAGGATCTTTGTGGGGGAAGGGAATGGGGTTGAGGTGGATTAGGTTTATCACCTGCTTGATTGCTTCAATGTTACTTTGTCATGAATTTCTCAAAGCCTCAATATATGTTTAGAATTTAAGACATTCTCTAATATTCATTGCTCTTAAACTAGTAAAATGTATAAAACAGAGCAAAGAAATTGCATAAAACTTCAAGGAAAACAACCCTTACTAGCATACCATGTTTTTTAGATTTTTCAGTTGTACCCCTTGACAAAAACTGACTTAAAACCCTATATAATATTTTTAGATTATTTTTCTTATATTTTTCCTTAACACTAGATATCCTATTCTCATATATATGCTGCTTCATATTGATGTATGTAGTTTCTGCTGTTCTGAAATTTTGTTTCTAGATTTGGTAAAATATATTGAGTTATATCTATCATTGTTTTGTTCTGCTTGTTTCACTATAAGCATATGCAAATCGTGGATATCATACACTGATGCATTAAGTTTCTTTTTTTTTTTGTTCCTATTAAGTTTATTTTTTTGGTTTCTCTCTATTTATGTTGTCCTGCCAAATGAATATTGAACACTTTTTTTTCCATTGTTTCAAAAATAAAGAAAAAGGATTGTGTATACACTATATGACTTAACTGCTGCACCTTTTCTTGCTTATCTTTCTTTTGTCTTCTAAGTAATTTCCTAAATAACAAAGTATCGTATATAATAATTAAGAATAAATTACATATATAAGAAGACTATATTACATATGTGTGTATGATTAACAATGTCGTTTAGCAGTTAGGATCATGGAGAAATTGAATCGAAATGGATGTATGAGAGATTAGAAGGTCGACTACTAAGATCATTGGTGAAGAGTGGAAAAGCATGCCAGAAGAACAAACACACACACAAAAAAAAAAAAAAAAAAACAAAATCATAAGCACGTAAAAAAAAGAGAAGTATATTTTTCCGTTTGATTGATTGATATATTTGTCTGTTTGGTTTCCTTAAAATATTAATGTTTGTGTATTATCCTAAGTTTATTCTAGCACAAAAGCTTCCTACTTGTCAATTTGAGTGAATATTCAATAGAGAGAAAAGAGGCACTCATACTCTTGATTAGATTTATGAATTTACTCATCTTTTCAGTCTGGAGCAGGAATAAACAATTAATGGCATTTAGAACTACTCCACCATTAATTGTTTTTCAAAGCATCAATAGATCTGTTCGTGCTCCATCATTAATTGTTTTACAAAGCACCAGTAGATCTGCTCCACCATTAATTGTTTTTTCCTGCTCCATTAATGTCTCGTAAATATGCTCCTAATAACAGGGTTCTTGCTTAGCATGAAAAATCTGTAGCTAGAACCAGAATGGGCTTGACAAAGCAATGCTGGGACAAATAACTGAACCCAAGAGATCTATTTTAAAATCTTCAAGGCTGCTTGATGTGTTTGGTTTATTGCAAGCTTACTTGAACCTTTTTTTTTCCCTTCTTCTCTGTGTAACTAGCAGCTTGCTGTGGTGTTTATTATATTTACATGTGACATGTTCTTTACCTTTTATGTATAATATGCTATTTTGAGTTAAATTATAAACTTTACATGTTAATTCTAATGCAACGTACATATACTTGGAGACCTGAGTTCGATGCTAAGGCTAGGAGAGAATTTGACCAAAAAGCTGGGGACCGACTTAGGGGCACATTGAACCAAGTTTAAAAAATAGCTCTCCATAAGCAAGTTAGTTTCATGACTGACACTGTTCGAGCTGAATTCATAAATAAGCGTAAGCATCCTGATTTTGTAAAACGTTCTAACCAAGCAAGAGATAATCGGTTATCTGGCCAAACATTAGAGAAGTTTGACCCTGGCCATCGCCAAGGTGGCGTATCTACTCCTCAAGTGGTTAAAAAAATGGTAAGTGTATGATTTTAGCAGCAAACTTATGATTTTTAATATAAGATAGAAGCAAGTAGAAACTTTTTAGCCACTAATATAGATGGCTATAACTGGTCTTTATTACAATTGCTCTATAGTCTATGTCCCCATATTTTTTGTTGTTTTTCTTTAAGTGCTAACTACTTCTTCTAATACAAGGCAAAGAAAAAGAATGGAATTTTACCAACTGCTGCATGCTGAAGTCTATGAGAGCACTCATTCTGCTTGTGTGGGCAATGATGAAGTTGAATTGATGGGTGACAATTCTCAAAAAGTCATGGTATGAGTATACTTCTTTATTTTTCTAAGATTACAAAAAAATATATGGTAGTTAATGTTTGGAGATATTATGGATTGTTTATTTGTTTGTGTGATTGAGTTGGAGGATGAGAATGATTTGCCGGTATTAATCATATGATTAATGTGGTATGGCATAATGTGAATTGAAACAGGTTATTTTGAAGTCATACCCTATAGGAGGGAATTCTTCAATTTACAAAGGAGACTCTGTCGAAATTTTTACTAATAACTGCTTACATAAATTATTTTGCTATAAGTGTTACATCTTTTATTTAAAAAAAACAACGATAATAAAAATACCCCTGATCCTCTGTTCCCCAATAGTTGTACCTTTGTAATCTGGAGCATCTATGAAGAGGTAAAATGACACTTTTACCCCTGATCCTCACATTCAGGAATTTCCAAACCATCACCACCCACCCTCAAATTAAATTAAATTGTGTTTTAGAAGTCCAAACTAGTTTTAGGCCCGGACGATGTCCCAAGTCATTGCTTATATTTTTATTATAGTTGTTTTTATTTAAATGTATTTAGTTTATTTAAGTTTTAACATTTGAGATCATAGTTACTAATACATATCTTAATGCAAGGAGAATATATGGAAAAACTTGAGGAATATAAGAACAAAGGAATTGAGATAAACCCCGACAAAGTCTACTTAGAGGTTGTAGGTGGGAAAAAGAAAGGAAAAGTCTACGGTTTAGGGAGTGCTTCACAAATATATTACAAGAGCGATCCTACTTCTCAATCTACTGCATCATCTTCCACTCCTTCCATGATTTCTCAATTAAGTTCTCAAGTTGAAGAACTAAAGAAGATGGCGGAAGAAAACCATAACAAGGTGGAAGAAAGCCAAAAAATAGCGGTAGAGAGCTTAAAATGTGCTAAGGAATTCGTCGAAAATCATGAGATCGAAAAAGCTACATGGAAGAAGGAAAAATTAGCTATGCAAAAAACATTGCAGGAAATGGCATCACTTGTAAAACAAGTTTACCGTCCTTATAAGCCTCCTACGCCTGCAGTCACCCGCTCTCGTGATACAACTAAGTGATTTTTATTTTTTTGGTGGTAATTTTATGAACTCGTCTTTTACATTGTCATTACTTCTTATTTGAAGCATCATTTTTTATATGGGAGGTGACTTTTGGAACAATTAGTCATATGAGTTAAATATTGTTTTTTAATACATTGATACAAAATTGATTATATTTTGGATATTTGAATAAAATTAACATTTTGGTTATTTGAATTTATGCGTGGGGTACCTTTTTTGTTTTGTGATTAATATTGGTGGTTGCTTGATTATGGTCTCAAATATTGATAGTTAGTCGCAAATATTTAGCGACTGCAAATTTGGTTTAGAGACTAATTGGTTAGTTGCAAAATCATTAGTCTCAGTAGTCGCTAATCTGTCACAAATAATTAGTTTTGTAGTCGCAAAAATTTGGTCTCGTATGTAGTTGCTAATTCGTCGCAAAAAACATTAGTCTCAATAGTCGCAAATCCGTCACAATAAAACTAGTCTCCGTAGTCGCAAAAGTTTAGTCTCGTAGTCGTAAAATTTGGTCTTGCAGTCGCTAATCCGTCGCAAAAGTAGTCTTAAAACATTGATCTCTGTAGTTGCTAATCCGTCGCAAATAAATTACGACGGACAATAATTTAGTTGCTAAAATTTGAAATTTAGTCGCTAAATGATAGTTGCAAAGGCGTTGCAAATCTATCGCTATATTTGCGACTGTTCAAAAATTAGTCGCAAAAATGGATTTGCGACGAGGTCTTTGGCAACGAACCAAAGTAGTTGCAAATCCGTAGCAACTCCATTTTTGCGACGGAATTGCGACTACTTTGGCCGTCGCTAATTACCCTTTTTCTTGTAGTGGGTTGTTACTTCACGGGATCATCGATCTTGAGTGTGAGGAGCTTCAGTGTCTCAGTCACGGTAACCAGTTGGTTCCTAAGCTCATTGACTTCTTCTTGTGTTGCCATTATGATCTTAGCTTTCATCTAACGAGCTATGGGTTTATCGAAAAGTTGGACTTGTACGAAAAGGTTTTCTTTGATTAACCGTCCTTCCATTCTTGACCACGCGCTCTAATTTAAACCATTTTGCGTTTTAATTACTTGACTCGAATCAACTTGACTTTGCGGCTTATAAATAAAAAATGAAAAATGGGTGCATATTTTGGGCAAAAATAATGTACATATTTTTAGGGAACTAAGTATAGTTTTTAAATTGGAGGATTAATATCCGACTTACCCCCCTAAAAAAAATGACGGAAAAACGCGCATGCAAGACTCTCATAGACATGGTCAAAGTATGTGTATTGGTGTGTGCGTTGAGTGTAAGTGACATGCTTGAACTCTTGTGTAAGACCATGTGACTTAGTGCCTAAACTCGATTAATGACTCAACCAAGTACTATTGACAGCGAAAATTAACCGAATTAATTATCAAACTGGTTAATTAGACACTAGGTGATGACTCAACCAATAATCCGAACTGTCGGCAAAACGACAGGACTGGTGTCGCACTGTGTAGTGTAGCGCCAGACAACAGAGTTGTCGCTAGGTGCCACACTCCACAGAGTGGCGCTACAGTCCAGACTTTGGCGCCAATGCTGGAGCTTCAATCTGGGACTGTTTTCGGTGTTATTAATCAACAGGGGTATGCCTAAAGTCGTACTAGGTCAATTCTGATTAAAATATTAGACTTTATTGACTCTAATTAATTAATTAATTAGACAAAGTTCTGTAAGTCATTAATTTATTTAATCTCAACACAAGTCAAACAAACGATTAAGGAATCATAGTATATGCACAACAAATAATGCACAATTAGTTAAGTAGGCACAATATTATGCAATGAGTTTGCAACCTAACCATGGCTCTAGTTCTCTAAAGTTCGGGATATGGTTTAGTCAATAGAGGATCCATGGTTAATTGTCCGGATGCACCATGCGAAAGCCTAACCGTGAAGGGTTGGCGCGAGTGGATGGGACACCGCGAGTTTTAGATAAAAACTCGTTTCCATGGTTTGGTGAATTCAACATTCTCGGATGCACCCTTTGTTGCTCAGAGCGTTCAATCAGGTACATGGAGCATGAATTCCCAGAGAATTATGTCCATATGTAGAACACATATGGGTTTCAGAAAAGTGAGAAAAAATTCAATCAGGAAGTATGATCGAGCAAACAATACGAAAAACTGGTCGAAATTAGAACGCATATTTCTGGCTCGGTATTGGAGGAATTTGGCGCCATCAAACAAAGACTGGCGCCAGGTTTTAGCTGTAGCTCCTGGCGCCAATGCTGGCGTCTGGCGCTACAGTTAAAATTATGGCGCCAATGCTCTGGCCCCTGGCGCTAATTCCTACATGCCTCAGCAGCTTTCTGTGCTCGAAAAAAAAAATTCCAGTTTCGCGCAGTGTTATTTCAGACCTAGTTGTGAAAGATATTTCTCATATTTCCTACGTGTAAAATCCTATGTTTTTAACTCATTACGGATGGTCTTTCCAATGAGATCTTTTTTATGCATATGACAATAATGTTAATCAAAATTACGCACATGAAATACTTAGAACGTTTCGAGTCTCATCCACTCATTCTAAATCATTGTCGAAACAAATTCAGGAATTAAAATAGAAATCCTCCCCAGTGGAGTCGCCAAAAACTGTGGGGAATAATTTCAAGCGTTAACCCCCTAGCTTGAACCCTACTGTGATCATACACTAAAGTACGGTCGCGTCCAAAAGGGAAGAAGATAGAGCAAAAGAGTCGCCAACAAGTTTTAGGAACTTGTAAACCGTTCACAGGGTGAAGGTTACACCCCTTAACGATCCAAGAGATCGTCAACTCCATAAGGTCTTGAACCAAATAAGGGTTCGGGGATGAAGATACAAATCCAACCTGAAAGAGATTGAACCTGCCCTAATAATAGGCCTCTACTTTATTCTGATCGTATTCATGTGCGCTTTCTGACTAACATGCGATCAATAGGTTTACCCTAAACCTGTTTATCTATGTTGGTTGAATTTAATGCACAAATAAATCTAATTATTGGCGATCACTTGAAATTATAATCAAATTAACCCTAAACAAGATTATTAATTATCTTTTTAAGCGTGATTACAAGTACAAAATCCCCTTTAAACATGCAAAAAAGGCGTGATCAAGCAATAACAATAAAAATATCAAGCAACATAATCATAAAATAATAATAATCATCATAACAATAATCAAAATAATAAATATAATCATAATCATAATAATCATGACAATCATAAATAATAGTTAAAATAATAATCATCACAATAATAATTATAATAAATATTATAATCATAAAATCATAATTAAAATAATCATATCAATGCTAAAGCATAATAACAGCAAGATCCTAGGCATGATACTAACAAGATTAATAACAAACCCTAGCATATCACTAAGCAATAAAAATCAAAGCTTTAGCCCTAGCATGATACTAACAATCATAAATATTAGGAAGAACATAGGAAGCATCATAACAATCATACTTAATATTAAAGTTACCCTAGACATGATACTAGGAATCATAATAACAACCTAAACATGATTTCTACATCATAATATCAATAAAACCATTAAAGTACTTACTTTGATGCCTCGTACCTCTTTCTAATAACAAAATACACACGTTAGTAACTTCAAGGAAAATAATAAACAAACAATTAAATTAAATAATTGAAAGAGAGATTTGGGACCAAACCCTCATAAATTAAACCTTTCACGTCTAGGGCGAAGGCAACTTCGAATATGGATAGGTGTTTCTGTATCTAATGAATGCGAAATTTTGTATTTGAAAAGCAAGTTTAGAAAGAGACAGAGAGATAGAGAATAATCAAGGAAAACTTGATGAGAGTTCGTGAATGAAAATAGAGAGAATTGGTGAATCAAAACGGAGTTTTTACGACGTTATTTATAGAGAAAATCAGCCAAAAAGATAAAATATCAAAAACAGAGTCTGGCGCATGCAAAACTGAACCAGCGCCAACGCTGGCTGCTGGCGCTAGGCGCCAATGCTGGGGCCAGGCGCCAAGCGTAGCGCCAGGCGCTACAGCTGGCGTTTGGCGCTGATCTGGAAAATTACGCGTTTTCCTAAAATCAGATAAAAATTGTCGTACAGGAGGATAAAATCGTATTTCCCTAAAAAAATGCTCTTTGATTTTAATTAAAACTCTGAAAAGTCAACCAAAGTCAATTTATCAATGCTAATTGAATTAGGAATGAAAAGAACCTTCTAGAAGAATTTAGAAGACTAAAACCATTCCTAATTGCATTAGGAATGATAAATCATATTAGGCCCTCCCCTAGATCATTGGGCTGCATATAAGGCTCAAACCGGGCCCAGTTTAGTAAATTGGCCATAATTTCCTCAATATTCATCGGAATTGGGCTTATAATATATCGTTGGAAAGCTCACGTCAAGCCCCATCCAACTACACTACTATTGGACCCATATCATGTACCAACCAAACTAGATTGGATGTTTTCTTAAAATAAGTTTTCAAAAACAAAGACAAGAGAAAAGGAATTAAAACTATTCGCAACACTAAACTTTCCACACTTTCACTTCATTCGATTATGATTCGACGCGAAAGGTACTCATCACCGGGTTTGGTTTTGGGGAGACACATTTGGGTGTCTACAGTTTTACTAAGCATATATTTTGTTGCTTCGACCATTGTTCCTTGTGCCTTTGATCCCCCGTTTTAGTTTCTTTGTTGCATGCAAACTCGAAGTTCAGGTTCAGATGATTTAACACCTTTTGATTCTGAGATCGAAGCTACTGCGAGAAGACGAAAATGTAGAAGAAGGAGAAATCGAAAAATAAGAAACATGGTCGACCCAGGAACAAAATCTCTTTTGGAGTATGGTATTCCGGATACAACAACCGGATTTATTTCCAGTATTGTTAGACCACCTGTCACTGCTCAGAGTTTTGAGTTGAAGCCCCAATTCATACAGTTCATCTCTAATGATTCTTTTGCGGGCTCATCAAATGATTGCCCTGTGACTCACATTGATAGTTTCTTGGAGAAGTGTGACACTAAGGGATAAGGCAAGGGAGTGGCTACAAGATGAAGGTAATGGTTCCTTTGATACGTGGGACAAGCTTGCCAAGGCCTTCTTAGTCAAATTCTTGGGGCAAGAGAAAACCGCGAAATTAAAAAAACGAGCTATCCACCTTCCATCAATTTGATGATGAGTCTTTATATGAGGCATGGAGAAGGTTTAAGCGATTGCAGAGACAATGCCCTCACCATGGTATTCCGGAGTGAATGTTAATCCAAACGTTCTATAATGGTTTGACCCATGAGTTTCGCATCTACATTGATGCTGCGTCTGGAGGTTCTATCATGACGAAGAACCCAACCGATGCGAAGGATTTGATTGAGAAGATGGCGGCTAATGATAATTACCATCTAAGGGGACGAAATTCTATTAACCCAGGTAATAAACATGATTTTGATGCTCTAACCATGTTGACTAGTTCTGTGCAGGCACTAACTCATAAAGTCAATCAACTCCAAGCTAAGTCCCCTCGACCCTCGACCCTCGATGGAAACTTGTCAGATGTGTGGATTGCAAGGCCATACTGCGCGGGAGTGTCAACCCAATTATGATGGAATGACGATTGAGCAAGCTAATGCTTTCTATACCATGACCTCCACAAGGCCATTTTATGAAGGGTGGAGAAATCATTAAGGGTTCTCACAGAAGAACACTCAAGCTATAACAAATTCTCCACCACCACAAGCTTTTCAAGCAAGGGCACCTTTCAATCATCATCTCATGCACCAATCACCACCTCAATCTTCAAATCTTGAATCCATTGTGGAGACTTTTGCTACCTCCCAACGTCAACAACAAGAGCTTATATCAAAGCAATTTGATTTACAAGCAAACCAAAATGAATATTTTGAAAACTCGATCCAATTGCTTGTTGCTCAAAATAAGAGGATAGAAACTCATCTTTCTCAACTATCACAACAAGTGAGTCATCTATCAACTCTTCAAAATCAAGCAAAATTCCAAACGAAACAATGCAATGCAATTTTTGTGGTAAGAGATGGATTGACTATGGGGGGATTAGAGGAGAAAGTGTGCAATCTGGAGTTGAAAACTGAAATGAGCAAGAATGAAGGTCCCAAATATGTCGCTTCACAAGCCTATGAGGAACCGATGCCTTTCCCGCAAAGGTTATCAAAAGCCGTGCTCGATAAGCATTTTGGGAAGTATTCGGAGACTCTTAAAAAGGTATATGCTACTATCCCTTTTTCTGATCTTGTAATTTAAATGCCTCAATTTGCAAATTTTGTGAAAGGAATTCTAGATCATAATCATAATGATAAGGAATTAGAAAATGTAGTAGTAAAGGAGAAAATCTCTAATATTTTACATAAAAGCTTACCAACTAAGTTGCATGACCCTGGTAGTTTTACTATTCCTTGCAAGATAAACGAAACATCTTTTGATAGGGACTTGTGTGATTTAGGTGCTAGTGTTAATTTAATGCCTTCTTCTTTGTATGAAAAATTAGGTTTGAAAAAACTTAAACCCTCCCCCATATCTCTTCAAATGGCTGATAGAACTGTTAGACTCCCTAAAGGTGTAGTTGAAGATGTATTAGTTGGGATTGGTGAACTTGTTTTTCCTGTCGACTTTGTTGTAGTGGATATGAAAGAAGACCTAAAGATCCCACTTATCTTTGGTCGTCCTTTTCTTTCTACAAGTCAAGCTTTAATAGATGTTCCTAAAGGACAAGTGAGCATAAGAGCTCAGGATAAACAAGTTGTGTTTAAGCTTTTTAATGACCACAATTTTACTCTTGATGGTGGTAATTGTTTGAGAATTGATTCTACTAACCCTTTGGTTGATAAGTGTGTCTCTAATAGAAATCCTGTGAGAAAAAAGGACAATATTCCACCACATGATGGATTTAGTTACATGAAGGTCAATTCAGATACAAGGCTCATCAAATCTAATTTGAAAGAGTCATTTGGAGGTGTATATATTAATGAACAGTACCATGGAGTATCTTCCGTGTGTGGTGACCCAGGTTGAGCCACTAAAGAGGGGTCGAGCTAAAGGCCTTAAACAAGCGCTAAATGGGAGGCAACCCATACCGTTTTATTTATTTATTTATTTTATTTTCCCTTATTTATTTATTTATTTATTTTTTTAGTGTCTTGGGGTTATGATGAGACATTATTTTGAGGGCGGTCCCAGCTCCGCCCTTAGGTATGATCCCTCCTCTACCAGTACGGCCTAGTTTTCTTTTTCCCTTGCTTGTTGTTATTCGATATATGTTCACATTGAGGACAATGTGAAGTTTAGCTTGGGGGAGGGATTCCTTTTGGCTTTGGGCAGTTACTTTGTGAATCATGATGATGAATAGCTAGTAAACTACTTCTCTATGCCCCTATATTTGATGATTTAAAGGTTTTTGGCTTGATTTTGATTGAAAGACTTGCAATGCGGATTAAATGATCATGATCTGATTTTGGATTGTCTTGGCCTAATTGGAAATCAACTTTGTGCAACTGTGTATGAATCTGGAGCTTGACTGTGTTAACTGTGAGGCTTGGGCCTTTATTATTTATTCATGTGTGTTAGTTCCTGTTGTGACATTGATCTTAGTTTTGTCTTGAGACTTTTAGTAGTGTGTCATGGTACATTGCACATGCACGATGAGGAGGACGAAGGCCATGTTTATTAGGTAGCCTCCAGATGAATTTAGAAATGTCTGTCCCCTTCTTGCTTACCCATGTTGTAGCCTTGTCCATGTTTTTCATCTATGTCACAAAATTAACCTATCGGCCCTAATTAGTAACTTATCCCAAGTCTAGCTTGGGGGAGCCATCTATCTAGGTGTTCTCTATGGTTTGTGATGATGTTTTAGAGAAGATTAATTTAAAGCTTGAAGGTTCTTAAAAAAATTTCTATATGATCTATTTTTTTAGCTCTTATAGTTTGTTATAAAAAAAATAAAAATAAAAGAAAAAAGGAAAAAAAGAAAAGAAAAAAGAAAAGAAAAAATTTCAGCTTCTTGAAGGATACATAAAAGAGCTTCAAAAATAAGAATAGTGTGATGAATTGATTATATATGGTGAATAAATTGGTATTTGCTCTTAATTCAAGTTATGTTTGGAGTGTGTATTATTGTGAATTAGTTCGATGGGATTTTGATGTGTATTGTTCATTTTTGATGGCTTCCCTGAGGGACTATATTTACCTACATTTTCCAAATTTTTCCTACCCATTTTCACCCCGCCTACATTACAAACTTGAAAAAAGACCTTCTGACCTTCGTGCATAGTATTGTGTTCATGTGAAACGAGTCTTTTATTAAAATGATGGAGTATTTGTCACATTTTGAGTCGACTTTTGACTAGGTTGAGCGGCATTATCACCCTTTAAACACGCGAGTCTTGTGAGATAAGGGGGGTTATCATCATTAGTGGGGATGGAGAGAGATCGGGCTCATTTTTAGCTCACCACATAAAATTGTGCGGAGTGACCACTAAGTGAGATATTCTAGTCATCGATTCCTTATGTGTACATGGTTGACTCTGTTTGATGGCCATTCAGGTTGATTGATAGTTTGAATGAGGTGATTGGTTGGATAAGATGCTTGTGTGTCTGATTTCGATTTTAATTATGATATTTTCAAATGTATTATGGGGTGAAGTATGTTTATTTGGTTGTTGATAGTCATTGATTGTCTTGCTTGAGGGCAAGCAAGAATTTAGCTTGGGGGAATTTGATGTACACGTTCTATACTATATTTTACTCTCATTTTATAGCTATTTTCATATGGTTTTTGAGCTCTTCGGAGCTACTTTTCGCTAATATTCTCTTCTCTAGTGTGGCTTGATCTATTTAATTGATTTTGTAGGCACGTGAATATTTTCAGATGATTTGGACTTGTTTTGGATAGTCATGAGAGCTTATTAAGATGGAGAGAATTTTACCTGTGTCCGCCTTGGAGGGCAACACTGCCCTGGCAGCCAGGGCGAAGAAGGAAAGATGAGAAGTCACAAGAGAGGAAGTATGAAGAGTGTAGCTCTTGTCCGCCTGGACCGGGCAGCAATTCCCTGGAAGACCGGGCAGACAAAGGACTGCACAAGAGCGGCCACATGAAGAAGCGCAAATATTAGCTGCTTCTCGCGCCTGACCAGGCAGCCTTGCCCGGTCAGCCCGGGCAAGGTTTCGGGAACCTCATTTTCCTATTTTTTCGGGCTTTCTTATATTAGGGGTTATAAATACCCATTGTAAACGCCGATTAAACAGACTTAGTTATTATCTTTGCAGTTTTTAAACACTATTAGAACCCTAATATTCTCTCTAGATCTAGATTACATTTCACTTTCAAGTTTTAATCCTTGTTCATCAACAATTGGTACTTTTCTTCATTCAAGCAATTGGTATTCATCTTTATTTCTTATTTTACTTTTAAATACTTATTAATCATGTTTTCTTCATTGATTATTGTTTTTGTTTTTGTCAATTTGTGTGAGTAGTTTTCTTATTCCAAGATCTAGCGGAACCCGAATATAATTGATACATGATTTAATTCTTTAAATTCTCTAATAATAATTGTAATTGATATGCTTAATTGATTATGCTTATGCCAATACTAGATTAGGGATAATTGGTATTGTTATTAATCCTTTGTTTTAATCATAACGGGAGTTGGGTTTTTACGGATTTGAATAAATCAATTAAGGGTTTGAAGTTCATCATGGGAGTAGTTGAACGGATGATTAGGAAGTTAGAGTAATGTGCTTAAGGTCTTTAATTTACATGATTCCACGGAAGTAGGCTTGATTGTGATTAGAGAAGCTATTGATAACTCGGGAGAGACCATTGGTATTATTCATGGCTTACTTTCCCTCATTAATCAATTGAATTATGTGTTAGGGGTAGAACGACTATTGCATTAATTGTATTCGTGGTGAAGCTTGATCTTGGATGTTTTTAGCATTGATTTGTCATATTGTTTAGATTTAATTGTTTTAATTAGTTCTTTAGATATTGATTCTCACTTATTTGATTTGGTTACTTGCTTAGTAATTGCTTGAGTCTATTTAATTAGTTGAACCATAGTCTCTTGGGATCTGACCCTTGCTTGCCTGTCTACATAGTAGTGGTATAGTTAGGTTTATTTTAGTTAGGTACGCGACACGCCTATCAGACATTCAGAGCACTTGACAGAAATTACATTGCGTTAACATCCGCAGGGACCATCGCAATGCTTTGTTTTAATTAAACAGTCGGATTTCAGATACAACCTATACTCACATGAGGGGGACTGTCACCATAGCAGGCACCCTGTGTACGGGGGTGGATTGTTGCATCTTTGAGTCTGGAAGTGGACTCATTGAGTAGTGCAATAACCCTGCATGGATTCGATGTAGCCCTTCCAAATGTCACCTCATTTCTGTGCAACCATATTGCCCATAGCACTGCCATGAATACGCACCCCTGATAACTACTCTGCATGAGCAAATATCTTAGCAAGTTATGTGTCCAAGTTTGTAAAGGAGGAGTTGTCTCCCCTACTTGGATTCCTAATGGGCCGCAAGCCCAAACTCTTTGGATGATAGGGCAGTCCCTAAATAGGTGTTCATCTGTTTCTTCAGCTGAATTGCACACTGCACATATATAGTCTACATTGATGCCTCTTTTCCTCAGATTATCTTTGAGCTGGTACATCGGTGGAGGATTTTCCACAATAACATCTTCCATCTTTCAGGGGCTTTGCTCTTCCATAGCATTGTCCATATGCTGCTTCGATAAGGAACATGCTTCTCACTCTGCTTCATCAACCAATCATACCCAGATTTGGTGGAGTATTCTCCTGTGTTTCCCCCAGCCTAGATCACCTCGTCATCCCCCTGATCTTGCTGGATGGGGGTACTCAGAATGTTCTTGGCTACATCAAACTCGAATAGCCTCTAGATGAGCCTACAGTTCCATTGCCCAGCAGAGTCTATGAGCTGAGCTACCTTCCCGTGCCAAAGCTTGTCTTCCTCTGTCATTGTGCCTGTGAAGCGGATTCTGCCTTTCTTCAGCCACCAGTCTTCGAGGATGTCAGTGTCTTTTCCATATGTAATACATTTCCGAATTCTCAGTCTCATTTTTGCAGCTGCCTTTGTCATGCTCCTGAAAGCCCACGAAGCAGCCCTCAAGGTCTTATTATGGAGGGCATATGAGACATGGGAGGAGTGGTATTTACTAGTTAGCACTTCACTTACTAGAGAAACCTTGTAACTATGGATTCTCCATGCCTGTTTGAATAAAAGAGAGTGATTTAGCACAGGAATGTTTCTGAGTGCTAATCCTCCTTGATCTTTTCCCAGATCTAAAGTCTCCTTTTTCCTCCTGTAAATAGGTTTTTTTTCCCTAGGCCTTCTCCAGAAGAATTTCAAATATGTTGATGTCAGTTTCTCCAGAATCTTGTTAGGAAGAAGGTACATAGAAATGACATGGGGTAAGATGGCTATTAGGATGGAGTTAGTTAACACCAATCACTACAAAAAAAAATCAATATAGCATCAACTAAAATTTGTTGCTATTCACCAAAAATCCGTTGCCAACTTTATTTAGCAACGGGTTGGAAACAAAAATTTGTTGTTGCTAAAAGGCTTGTTGCCATGGGAATTTGGATACCAGTTGCAAAGCAATTTTGTTGCAATATTGCACCAATTTAAATATAGTTTCCATGATTTGTTGCTGTTTTTGGTGCATTCGTTGCCAACTTTGGCAACAGTTTACCATTGGTCGTTGCTAAAATTAGCAACAAATTATTAATCTTAGTTCTTAAAATAGCAACAAATTATTAATATTGGTTCCTAAAAATAGCAACAAATTATTGAAGCTGGTCCATAAAAATAGCTACAAATCATAAATATTGGTTGCTATCAACACTACGAGACAAAAACCCAATCCCTATTAATTAGCAATTCGGTTCAACCCGATCTCGGCCTTTACCAATCTGAAATCTCACTCAGTTTAGGTCAACTCGGCTCGACTTTGCATGTAAGGCTCTTTGAATCCCCAATCTCAAGAATCGCATTTGGTAGGAGTCGAACTTGTGACCTCAAAGTCAGATGGTGAATCTCTTACCAAATATACTAAGTAATATTTGTTTACTTCTATGCATATAATTTATAATAAGTGAACGAAATATTAGAGACGAAATTGAAAAATTTGTCTCCAAATTAAGGACAAAATCAAAAGTCCGTCTCTAAATTAGAGACGAAATTGAAATCCATCTCTATTTGATGTCACTATAGCAACAAATAATTTTATACATTATAGCAAAAAGTGGCCTACATATAAATTAACAACAATATGTAACATAACTCGTTTCCAATGGCAACAAATAAAATAATACGTTATTAATTAGCAACAATAATTTAGAAGACTTGTTTCTAATGGAAACAATTTAAAAATTCATTGCCTTTGTTTTTTTCTAAATCAATACAAATAAAACATTTGTTGTCATAGTTTGTTAGTATTTGGCAACAAAAAAAAATGATGCCATCTAGTAACAACTAGTAAGACAATTTGTTTTAAAAAGCAACAAATAAAAAACATGTAGCCATTGTTTATTAAAAAACTAAAGCATAAAATGTCGCTTTTAATTAGGCAATGAAAAAATTTAGATTCGTTGCTATTTAGCAACATTTTAAAAATTTGTTGCCAAACTTAGTTGCTAAAAAGCTTTCATTTTTGTAGTGAATTTACCAACTTGCGAGAGGGGGAGAACATTCGTGGACATGATTTTCTGATAGACTTTCTCCACCAGAACCCTAGGCTGAATGAATTTCTACCATCTATTTTCATGGGACACCCTAGGTATGTACCCAGTTTTTGTTCCTGTTTCACACCCAGGGGTTTCCTAAGTACCCTCTGCAATCTCCTGGGTGTGTTTGGGCTAAAGATCACATAGGATTTTTCCTTGCTGACCATTTCCCCACTAATGGTGCAAAAGTCCTCCAGACAAGATTTTGTAAGTTAAAGCTTAATTAAGTGGTAATTTAGAGTTCTGAGAGTCGTTTGTCTATTTCTCATTTATGAGATTTGAGAGAGAAGAGAGATAACATTAGAATTTCGAGAGACAAACAATCTGTTTTTTTGTGATTGGTCTAAAATCGAATATGTAATCTATTTTTCTTCAAGATCAATAAAACTATTATTTTTACCTATTTGTGGACGTAGCCAACACATTGTTGGTGAACCACATAAATCTATATGTGTTTTTTTTTCTTGTTAATTTTACATTTAATATTTATGCTTTTCTTACATTCGTTATAACATTTTGATAGTGAATGATAATATGAATAACAAATTATTTATGAGAATCTTTTCTAGATTGTGTTAGAGACTAAATGTATATTAATGATATGTCCCACGTAATGACCGGAGACCCCAAATGCTAGTTTAAAAAAAGGGTGGAATTTACAGGAAACATGAAAGTAAAAAAGGTTTTAGTCACACACTCACACCGCTAATAACGGAATAAAAAAACATAGAACAAAAATAGGAAAGTGATTAATTTCCATTTATAGGCAAACAATCGATGTTGGTGCTGAATAGCCTATTCGGCAATCGCATATTGCGACTTAAAAGCAAAATTGATGTTACGATCCAACAAATTCACCGAATAAGAGTAAATAGCGGTCTTTTTTTTTTCAGAATTGATGGAATTGACATTGCTAACCATATCACTTTCAATATATCATGTTCCTTTTCATTTTTAATTATGGTTGTAGATGACTTTAAATTCATGTTTTTGGAGGTAATTTTTGAAAAGTAAATTGTACAAATTGAATCAGTGCCCATTTTATTGTTTATTTGGAGGTATAATCGTCTTTTTAAATACCAGTGGAGGGGTACATGCATCTTTTCATGTACTATTTGAGGGGTCCATATGTAATTTCTTAAATACAAGTTGTAAACCGTAGCTAAACAACTCACCAAAAATACTGAATAAATGATCACGCTTTTTGAATATATCTACAGAAATTGCCACCAGATTAACTAAATTAATTAATCTCACAGATGAATTTGTATTTGCCCCTTCTCATGCATTAATACGTAACAATATGAATTCGTCCCTTTTAGCTCCCCGATATCACCATTTACCCTTTTTTTCTTAATCAAAATTGAATGTTTGAGTTGATTCTAGCAATTTTTAGCTCACGAATACAGGTTTTCAGTAGGCTCCGTAGTCCGTACCTCTAGTGAAAGCGCCCCAATTTATCACGTTTCAAGTCTGAAGTGCAAAAATCGTTTACTTTATCTTCTTACCCTTAAGGCCTTAAACAGTTATATCCCATGGCCATAATATCCATTGACAAACTCACATTTTTAGATCCTCGTTTACTTTATCCAACGTTCTTACTTTAACTTGCATACCATCTTCTATACTTCGTATTTTATAACTGAGTTGAATATTTAAAAGGAAAATTTGTAAATTGTAGTCATATAAAGTTCATATTTTGCAAAATGTAGTCATTTTTTTATTTTTGCAAATTGCAGCCCAAAAGTTCGTATAAATTGTAAATTGCAGCCCAATTCAACTTTTACATCGATTTACATGTCGAAAAATTTTCGGTTAAGGTTTTAGGGGTCATTTTAGCCCTTAAGAGTTTAAATTGAGCTCGAAATTAGCAAAACAAAATAACATAAGTGCCTCGTTTTGCGTAACAAAAATATAACAATTTGTGGAAAACTGTAAAAATGAGACACTTACATTATTTTTTGGCTAATTCCGAGCTCAATTCGGGTCCCTAAGGACTAAAATGGCCCCTTAAAACCTTAAACGAAGATTTTTTGATATGTTAACCGATGAAAAAGTTAATTTGGGTTGCATTTTGCAAAAAAAATAAAAATAAATAAATAAATGGGTGCAATTTGCAAAATACGAACTTTAAATGACTGCAATTTGCAAATTTAAAACGGACACGACAACTAATTTTATAGTACATATCAATTAATATAATATACTTCCTCCGTTCTATTAATATTTCAACAATGGACTTTTTGAACTATTCATCACTCTTGTTTGACCATATAATGATTTATACATTAAGTAAGATATAATAATGTGGAATTCTGATGGATTCGTCTCATAAATATTTTCACAATATCAACTTTTATAATTTTTACTCTTCACAATTATAGATATTTAGTACGTAGTATATAAAATATACTTTGAGATGCTTAAGGGTCTGTTCTCTTACGTTGAAATTCAGCTCAGTTCAGTTCAGCTCCTAATTTCCTTCTCTTATAAAATATTCATTTCAGTTCAGCTCAGTTCAGTTCAGCTCGGTTCAGTTCAGTTCAGTTCAGCTCAATTCAATTCACTTCAGTTCAGCTGAGTTCAGTAAATGAGAACAGGGTTTCATCCTTGTTGCAATATTAACAGAACGGAGAAAGTACTAAAGTAATTACTACATTATTCCCAAAAGTATGTACTTGTGTCGTGTCCACAACAAAACTATCTCGCCAAAATATTCAAAAAAAAATCATATTATATTGTCAAACAACAGTGATGCATATATAGTGCAAAAGTCCAAATAGTTGTAAAAATATTAAAGCGAAGGAAGTATGTTATAGTTGAATTTTATATATGTTATTTTTAATACTAATTTTTTTCTTATACAAACTAGAATCAGTGTAATAACTGTGCATGGTACATGACCTAATCCAGTATTATTATTTTTTTACTTAACTTG